AAAATGGTACCCACGGCTCAAAACATTAGTTAGACAGAGACTGAGATAGACTTATGTTTGGTGGAAGGAAAATGGTACCTACGGCTTCAAACATTAGTCTTTAAACTGAGACTGATTCGAACATTGATCCCTTATGTTACCCACGACTTGAAAATCTCTAGACATGGATCATGTTCGATTTGGTCTTTCAGTTTTTAGACAAAGAAACAGTTACCCACGGCTTTTAACACCATAAGTCTTTAGACAAAGACTTGAGATTCGAAAAAACAATCCTTAAGACAAAAGATTGGATTGGCTTATGTTTTGGTGGAAGGAAAACGGCTTAAAACATCATAAGTCTTTAGATAGAGACTTGAGATTCCATTTTTTATATTTGATGAGATTTTGTTTGTTGTTCTACGGATTTTCTATCAATATTGTTTTACTAAATTTGGGTTGCTTGGTTGGTGTTTTAGGTTTACGGATCATGGGATCCTCAATCAAAACCATGTTCGGACGGACGAGTTGATGAAGAAACAAAAAAAAACTGTTAAGGTATTATTAGTTGTTGTGTTTAGTTTTTTTTTGGGTTTGTTCTTAGTTTTGTAATTTAATGATCAGTTGATTACGTTTCAAGATAGCATGCTGGTTTCATAGCAAAATAAGTAATAGTTTTCTTATAGAAATAATTAATGGTTTTACGTTCAGTGGATTTGAGATGTCAAGTCCGAGAAGACAAGCAAAGGTCTCAAATTTGACATGTTTAGTGAAGATATTCCTTCCATACTCGACGGTGATTCCTTGATTCTGGGGGAGCTTTATTACTTAACTAAGGACAAAACAGATTATGCTTGGTATACCACAAGGTAACTAACTTCCTTCACAAGCAACATTTCCTTTTTTGGTCTTTTAAGCTTTATATAGAGACTTAATTTTTGAGTTGATTCCATGGCTACAGCATAAAGATTGAAGATGATGACATACCAGACCAGAAAGGTCAGAAGACGATACTGAGAGTAGCGGGTCTTGGTCACGCATTAATCGTTTACGTTAATGGAGAATACGCAAGTACTTAAACAGTCATTTAAGGGGATATAAGACACACAGAGAGAGTTTTATGTAACTTTCTGTTTGCTATATTTTTGTTGTAGGTAATGCGCATGGAAGCCATGAAATGAAAGTTTCGTGTTTGCAAAACCAGTTAACTTAAGAACCAGAGATAATTGTATTTCAATTTTGGGTTGATGCCAGGGAAGTCCCTCCGAGCTCGTGGCGGCCGAGTCTGGAAACGCGTGGTTTTTTGTTGCCCACGTGTTGCGATTTCGTCGACTCGCTGCGCCAAGGTTTTGTTAGCTTTCTCTTGATCGTCAGCTTTCTTCTGGAATTTAACCATCATATCCTTCAGTTCGGCTAGGGCTGCTAAGATTGTCGGATCGGCTTGAGGATTTTGAGGGTTCAGAGCATTAGGGTTCCCTCCTCCGGCTGGCGGTATCTGACGATCGTCTTCGTTTACCATCCTCTCTGGTATTCGAGTCTCGCGTTCTTAGGGTAAGAGAATTCTAAAGTAATCCCCACAGACGGCGCCAAACTGTGGAAGTCGAAACTAACACAATCGAGATTTGTCTAGGGTTTTATTTTAGGGATACGATAATCGTGAATTCTCAAAGAACAACAGAAACGATTATAACCAAAGATGGTGTTCTTGATATTATTAATGAAAAGATGATTTTGATCGTACAAGAGTTTGATCGTAAAAGAAAAGATGTTTGTGCTGTGAGAGCTTTGCGTAGTGTAAATTCTAGAGCGATATTGCTTTTTTTTCTGTGAGAGCCTTGAGTCTCTTTATATAGGGGTGATAAACCGCCTCTCCAGCGATATTCTCGGAAGATTTCCATTTATCTTGAAGTCGGTGTAGAATATCGCGGATCAGGATAATTTCCTTATTCTTCGGAGTTTTTTGGAAGATTTCCTGATTTAAGTTGATCCTTCGTGATTCTCCTTTATCATTTCCGGGTTTATCGGAAATGACCCTTCGGAAATGATGCCTTGTTTGGAAATGATACTTTGAAGATGAATATTTATCAAGTCTTTGCCTCGGGTGATGATGAAGACTTCGCCTCGGGTCACTCTGAAGACTTTGCCTCGGGTGACACTAAAGACTTCGCCTCGGGTGACTTTGCAGACTTCGCCTCGGGAACAATACACATTTCACCTCGGGTAGCACTGAGACTTTGCCTCGGGTAGCACTGAGCCTCGGGTAGCACTGAGACTTTGCCTCGGGGTAACTGCAGTATAAGGCTCGGCAGTGTACCCCGAGCTGACTGTGTACCCCGAGCTGACTGGCAGACTGACTGGCAAGGTACCCGAGCTGACTGGCAGACTGACTGGCAGGGTACCCGAGCTGACTGGCAGACTGACTGGCAGGGTACCCGAGCTGACTGGCAGACTGACTGG